CCATTTCAAATAAATTACATCTGAAGACTTCAAGAAGTGTACAATAGTATAAGAGTACCCTTTGCCTTTCGAGATATTTGTTATAAAAAAATTTAAAAAAAAAAAGATTTAGAGTTTCCATAATAAACTTGCTTGACGCAAAAAATCTTGGAAATATAAATTTAAATGTTGATAGTTGTTGAGCAACCTTTGAATTTAAATATTAATTCGGTGAACCCAATGAAGAAAAAAGTGGGTGGGGTTTGGCAAAATGTGTTTGAATTAGGTGAGCATCCCCAAAAGTAAGTGAAGCAACCTTAAAATATTTTTATTTATCTTAATCTTAATAGTGTAGTGTGACACTGTAAATATCGTACATAAATTTAACAACGTTGTATCCTACATCGAGAAAATTCTTGCATGCATTAATGCAAAAATGAAAAACAAATGCATCGAAGCTAAGATCACTGATCTTTCCTCAATCTACGATTTCTCAGTAGATTTTTTTAGTTGAAGGGTGAAAACATTTAAAGGAAAAGTTGATGGGCGCCACGAAGGAAAAAAATAGAAATTTAAAAAAGAATAAATGAAAAAATAAAAAAAATTTCAAAGACTTAGGCTTGGTTAGGCATAGGAATGGCATATGCATTCAAAGAACTAGTCAAAGATTGATAAAACGCGAAGTACACATAGCCCACTCATCCATAACCATCTACCAACTACAAAAACAAAGCCCTTCATGCCTTTAATCACTCCTTGGGAATGTGAATCTTTCAATCTTCGTGAAATTCTATGAAAAACTTAAATAAAACCCTTGACCTACTAATCATTACGATTGTGTCGTCTGACATAAATAATTAGAGAAATGCTTGTTGTACATAACTATTTTCATAAGAATAATGCTACTTGCAGTCGCTCACTGCAGCAGTCGTCTTATGTGGCACATACATGTCAAGTGTGTATTTGATACATTAAATGTGATAAAAAACTATCACATTAATGCATCAAATAACTACATGTCATGTGTGTGCCACATAAGACGACTGCTGCAGTGAGCGACTGCAAGTAGCATTACTCTTTTCATAATGTTATATATAATGATGATGTGTCAAAATATAAGTGGAAAAATTATTTGATTAATGAGATTTTGATCCAATTAAATCTCATCACATCGTCTGTTGGTAAATCATTATATAAATTGTTATATACATGTATCACAACAAAGATAACCGTGTGCAATTCAAAGAAAAGATACGATCAATCCACATATCATATCTTGACTTCTCAACATTCCTAATGTTATTATTGTGAACAATGGGAGAATTGACACATCTATATCATGAAAATTCAATTCTCTCAATGACTCCTTGTACAAGAATTACCAATAGAAAAAAATTGCATAATTACATCAATGTAACCAACTCTAAGAGACATCGCATTTCTCCAAGGGATATCATGGGTATTGACCATCTAGAAGGTCTCAAAGTAATGAATCATAAGAGTCTAGGACTATTACTCTTTCAAGATTAATAACACCCTTTTTTAGTAGAATGAAAAAATTGATCTCAGTAATGCTATTTCGTAGTAAAATTCTCACTAAATCTTGATTCAACACATTCTATTGTATAGATGATTATTAGTGACGAAGATAAGTCACCTTATCATATGGAGGTTAAGATACTACAACTTTATTAAGTTATTTAACGAGAACACGATACTAATTGTCAATAAGTTCCAACAAAACTCATAACTTAGGGGTCGTTCTTTTTGTGTTTTGAGTTTTGAATTCATCTTGGGTTTTGTGTTTTGTGTGGCCATTTTGAAATTGTTGAAAATATGTTCTTTTTGACATTAAATCTTCGTGAAATTCTATGAAAAAACTTATATAAAACCCTTGACCTACTAATCATTATGATTGTGTCGTCTGACATAAATAATTAGATAAATGCTTGTTGTACGTAACCATTTACATATTGTTATATATAATGATGATGTGTCAATATATAAGTGAAAAAATTATTTGATTTATGAGATTTTGATCCAATTAAATCTCGTCACATCGTCTGCTTGTAAATCATTATATAAGTTGTTATATACATGTATCACAACAAATATAACTGTGTGCAATTCAAAGAAAAGATACAATCAATCCACATATCATATCTTGACTTCTCAACATTCCTAATGTTATTATTGTGAACAATGGGAGAATTGACACATCTATATCATGAAAATTCAATTCTCCCAATGACTGCTTGTGCTAGAATTACCAATAGAAAAAAATGCATAATTACATCAATATAATCAACTCTAAGAGACATCACATTTCTCCAAGGGATGTCATGTGTATTGACCATCTAGAAGGTCTCAAAGTAATGAATCATAAGAGTCTAGGACTATTACTCTTTCAAGATTAATAACACCCTTTTTTAGTAGAATGAAAAAATTGATCTCAGTAATGTTATTTCGTAGTAAAATTATCACACTAAATCTTGATTCAACACATTCTATTGTATAGATGACTATTAGTGACGAAGATAAGTCACCTTATCATATGGAGGTTAAGATACTACAACTTTATTAAGTTATTTAACGAGAACACGATACTAATTGTCAATAAGTTCCAACAAAACTCATAATTTAGGGGCCGTTCTTTTTGTGTTTTGAGTTTTGAATTCATTTTGGGTTTTCTGTTTGGTGTGGCCATTTTGAAATTGTTGAAAATATGTTCTTTTTGGCATTTTAAAAAATTGTTTTGAAAACTCCCAAAACATGTTTTGAAAATATTAATTTGATTATAATTGAAAACACTTAAAACGACAAATTTGTCGTTTTGGGATTTCTTTGTAAATTTTTAACTTGTTTTCAAAAACGCGTTTTTAAAAAATGGGAAAGAGAACGCGTTTTCACTATTTTAGAAAATCGAAAATAGAAAACGACTTGAAAATGGTAAAGAGAACAGTCCCTCATGTTCTGTTACAAAACAATTAGCCATACTATCGAATTGTTGTAATATAAAGGGCATGAACAAATACTCGTATGATCAATGTAATACACGCATTCTACATTAACAATAATCAACTGCATTCAAAACTCAATTATAATTTTTTTTTTTATTTAGAGGGCTCTTTTTCTAAGAATATCATGCCCCTACTATCCGTTAGATATATATCATACATTTTATTTGAAAGTGATAATTAAATTGTGATGGTCGATTGAGTGAAAAAGGTTGTGAAATTTATGTGGGAGATTGTCGGTTCAAACACTATTAGTCACGTGAATATTTAATAGTTTATAACAAGGGCTTGGGGTTCTTGGATTAAAATGATTTATTATAATTATTATTTATTTTAATTACTTTCAGCTTTATTTATGTAAAAAAAAAAAAACCAATATTTTTTATTTTATTACTATTTTTTTAAATAAAATTCTGAATTATTAGTGGAAGTTATAATTCGTGGAGTTTATACAACTTTTTCTTGAAAAAAAAATACAGAAATCATTTCATTTTCATACTTTATACAGAATTGTTTCTAGATTTATATTATGAATATATTGTTCAAGAGTAATTTTTGAAAGTTCTAAAAATTACTTGTTATTGCTGAAAAGTGATTTGATAGTTGTAGCTTGAGAGAGATTGTTCACAACAATTAACGTCGAACAATTTCACTTTAAGATATCGCATTGTCATGATTCTTAATCGTTCGACAAAATATTTTAACTTTCTGCATTTTATTTTTACAACACTATCAACTCGCAACCTACAAAACTAAGCAAACTATTGCGATGTCCATGGTACCACCATAATAAAAGGAACAATACGAATTTCCAATACGAAAAGCGCGAGATGCCCGCAAAAAAGACGGGCTTTAGTGGAAAAAATGTTGTACAAACAACGAAATAATAAATGAAGGCATAGGGAGAAGAAGATTATTGTCCAACTTCTCGACACCTAATCCAAACCCCACCATTGCAAATTTAAAGCATTTACGAAAGTGTGCATTCACATATTATCTCCACGATCCACGCCCAATTTCTTTGTAAGGAGGAAAGATCGAATAATAATGGCTGTGGCCTGTGTGTGACCACAAGAATCAAATGTGTACCAAATTTCTTAGTAGACACGAGAATCGAATGTGTACATTAATCTTACACCTGTCGAAGGCAATTCATACAATCTCAGTTGACCCTGCCGTATTGTTTGGTCCAAAATTGACAGCAGAAATTAAGAGGCAAACGAAAAAAGAATCACACAGCAAATGCTTTGACCATAAAAAGCTGAAAAAAAAATGGCCAAAACCGAATCACACTGCAGAAAATTAAAGAACAACAATTGAATTTTCTTGTTAATTCCTCGCCCGGTCAATAGCAGATTCCAACACTAGAAACAAACAGGGTATTGCGGTGGCAAATGCCCACGAGCTCGAGCTCGTGGCTCGTTATAAAACGAGCCGAGCACATGGCCACATGGCAAACGCCCACGAGCTCGAACTCGAGCTCGTGGCTCGTTATAAAACGAGCCGAGCTTGTGCTCGGCTCGTTTGCTCGTGGGCGAGCTCGGCTCGGTCCACGAGCTCGTANCGCTCGTCAAAAACGAGCCGAGCCGAGCCGGCCTGCTCGGCTCGTTTTTTGACGAGCCCGAGGCTCGTGGGCCGCTACAGTACGAGCCGAGCGGTCGAGCCGAGGAGCCGCTCGGCTCGATAATGAAGTAGCAGAATATTAGAAAAAAAAACCTTATTTTATCACTCAAATTCATTCCAAATGAAAGGGACCAAGAAAAGGAACAGCCAACAACCACTTTATTGAAGCTTAGTAAACCCAAGAAACCATTTTCTTACACAAACATATCTTCTTTATTAGATCATCTTCTAGTTACTACTGTCCTAATTCCTATACTAGTACTGGTAATAATCTGTCCCAGAAACTATTACTGTGAAAAATCAAAAATCTTCTTCTTTCTCCTAATCTTCAACTTCATATCTTATTCTCTTTAGGGATTCCTAACCCATTTGTAATTTTGATCAGTAAGTCCACTCCTGGGGAAGCCTGAGTTCTTGATTTGTTACTGCTGCTGGTCTTTGATTTTTCCTCTGCTGTGCCATTAGAACATTATTTGTGTACTTCACAGCAGCAGCTGCATATTGAATCAAGAAAATTAACTTAGATATTCAACCAGTAAGGATTTTGAATAATTGAGAAAAGGTAAGAAATAATTATTACCATAGTCAGGAATGAAATTTCCATTTGCTCTGTTCTGCGGCTGCTGCAGTGCCTGGGAATCCATGGATTCCAAGTTCAAATTCAAAGCCTGGACCACTCTATCTGGTAACAGAACTGTAGAACACCCTGCATTTGCAGAGACTTAGTCAGCAGAGATTATTAAAAAGGGTACTTCATCAAATATACTCCTGAAAAATCCAAATATTTGGAAAATTCAAAATTGAATTAATCTCGCATATCAACGTACACACTAAAGTCTTAAACAAGATTATAACCTGATTTCTTTCGAGTTTCAGTGGGGGCTCCTACTCTTCTGGGCAAGAAAACACCGGTTCCGGTACGTTCTTTTTTAGTACCGGGATCTCCAAGAAACACCCTCATGCCTGACCCAGTCTGCTGATGTTTTGGAGATTGTTGTACAGTAGACCGACCATCCATTGACAACGCATTAGAACTGCCATTATTCTGAACCATATGCGAGTACCCACTTTTCATTTGACCATAAAACCGACTTCCTTGTTGAGGTTGCTTCATCATTTGTTGCTCCTTCAACTGCTGGAACTGTACAAATTTAAAAAAAAAAGAAACAGCTCAGTGCATGCAGAAAACAGTCCAAAACAGGGGAGATCAGGTCGTAAGCAGTACAAAGTTTCTTTGAAATTGAGCAAAGACTTACTTGCGTAGCTTGCAACTGTTGAAACGAAAGGTGGGTATGGTTCGGGTAAAACCCAGAACTGCGATTCAGGTTTTTGGATGGTACTGTAACAGCACTGGGTTTTCTGGGCGAAATGAAAGGTCCATCCACACCACCTCTGTAGTTGGTAGAATAAAACCCAAGTGTTTCTTCCATCATTCTTATCCGGGCAACCTCTGCTGCAGCCGCAGACAATAAATCCAACGACGTTGTCGAGTCTTTCCGGTTGGCAACCGGCGGTGTTGAAACCGTAGACAAACAGTTGGTTCTATGACAGCCGGAACCCGGGTGGCACCCACGACTAGCCATAACACTACATAGAGTCGATTGTGGAGAACCAGAAACCCACCATCCCTGTAAAAATTTGAAACCCCAAATTAAAATACCCTTCTCTGCGAAAAATAAAAATCAAGAAAAAAAATTAGAAAGGAAATGTATACTTTTTTGCTTTCAACCAGGTAATTAGAGTCTTGTATAGTAGATTGAGCTATCTTGCGAGTTAAATCAGGCATATAGTCATCCTCGTCGCTCTCTGTTTCAGTAGATCCCATCGCCGACTCAACTGGTGAACTCATATCCGAAAAAGGACCAAACGAGTTTTCAAACGCAAATGAAAAATCATCGATTTTCTTCGTCTGATGAATTTTATTATGAGCACTTATCAGTAAATCATCGTCAGTTAAAATCTGCGGCGGCAACCAGAACTCTCCAACATCCAACTCTGCCGCCATTTCACCAATTGAAACACCAATTAGTTCAACAAAAAAACCCTTCGAATATACGTAAGGGAGGCAAAAATGAACTAAAAATCTGGGAGAATTCAAAGGTGGCTTTTGAAATTGGTTGCTGCCTCTTAATTATAGATACCCACAAACTCAAGCGGTGCTCGCTGTTTCCCACAGGAAATACCCAGGGTCCCAGCAAATAGAGAGAGAGAGAGAGAGAGAGACACAGAAGATAGTAACGAAGGAGGCTGTGGAGAGAGAGAAGCAGCGGGAGGAAGCAGTGTTTTTATAATGTAAACACAGCAAGAGTATGGTGGAACGCATAAAACCAGACGCGAAAGTGTAGCGTAATCTCACGCGCCGCTGTCTTGATTCTGAGAGCCTGGGGTTTTTTTGGCACTAATTTCGATCGATTTTGGATAACACAATTTATGAAAGAATAAATACATCCGTGTTTACTATTTTTTTAGACATCAATCTCGAATGATTTAAAAATCACTCAAAATAGGTATAGAGCCCGTTTGGTAGAGATTAAAATCGGATTAAAATTGAAAAATTAACCGTTATTGCTGACTTTTATTAGACGAGTGAGACTTAATAACGGCTATATTTTCAATTTTAATTGAATTTTAATCGGTACCAAACAGGCTCATAGTGTTATCTTAATCGATTCTCTCAACCGATTGAATCGTCGAATTTTAGTCGTTTCTAATATTCTCTTTTAATTTTATTCTTTATAAAATAATTATTTCCAACTAACATATTTTCTTCAAAATTAACTTGTAAATACAAGCATATTAATTAAAAAATTATTTATAAGCAAAAAATAACATTATAATTAAAAAATTATATATAAATTAAAAATTCCATTTATGTAAAAAATTATTTATAAAATAAATATACTATTGATAAGACAAGAATTCGCTTATAAAATATAAAAAGTTGCTTAAAAGTAAAAACTCATTTTTTAAAAGTATAAAATTAACTTATAATTTTAGAATTTATTTACAAGTAAAAAACAATAACTTAATATTAATTAATTTTTTAGTTAAATATTAAATTATATATATAAAAATTACATATAAATAAAAGAGTAAAAAAAATTAATTAAAGAAACTATAAACTTAAATTTTCATTAAAATATGTAATTTTATTATTTTAAAATAATTTTTAGAATAGATCAATAATAAACTCTCAAGCATATGTTGGACAATTTTGAAAATTGCTATTAAAATCAATCAAAATCGATTCTCTCGTAAACTCCTAAAATCGATATTTTTAAATCTTTTTAATTAATCGAAAAGGCTAATACTATAGTGCCAACGTGTTGACGTCTTTCTAATTGGTTAACTAATGGTGCCTAGCAATTAGAGATTAGAGGGGTGGTTTCGGGGTTTTTAATATTAAACTAAATTGACATTTCTCCCATTAAATTCAATAAATTAACGAAATTACCCTTATTGAATTGGGGTCTGACCCATGGGCCCCGTATGGTCAGATACTCAGAATCGGGGTCCGAATACATGGCTAACGTAACTGCAGAAGATATTTGTTCGCAAATTAAATTTTCGACACATAGACGGGAGGTCAAAAATAATGTCAACCGTAAGTGTACAAAAATCATAATTCTTTGTACCCGATACAATTTGTTTGTGGACAGTTTTTCTCAGTTTGTTGTTCAATTTGACTGCAATAATCTACGAACAATATCTTTGTTGAGAATTTAAGGGCGCATTTGATTTACTATTTTCAAATTATTTTCAATTTTTAATTTTACAAAATGCTAAAAATATATTTTCTCACAAAAATAGGTTCATAAAATTGAGAATGAAACGCCTTACAAATCCCAAAATCAAGAATAATATGAAAAATTATGCTTGGTGTACATAAAAAACCAAAAATGCCCTCTCCCATGGGTGGGGCCCACGATTATTTCAATCGTGGATCCCCACCAAATGTATGTGAGAGGGCTGTCAAAATTAATGTAATTCTAGCATTATTCATTCTATAGAATTCTGTTTGTACATAAATGGATGACAATGAAGGTTGACAACCTCTCACATGTGTGCAAGCTCCATGTTATTAAAAAATTCCAAAAAAAAGTGGGCCCCCTTATTGAGAGTGTTCGGTCATTTTCCATTATCATTCATTTCGGTACATGTAGCATGACTGATTAATTTTTAGCTCATAAATATTTCAATCATGCTACTAGTACATAAAATTTTAACAGAAAACTTCAACAGACAACGCGCGGCGGGAATTAATTGGAAGATGGAAAGAATAAAAAAATAGCCCAACATCTGCTATCACGTCAACGTCGGTAAGAATTCCGTCAAGAATTCCCTGAATTCAGGGCTTTTTCCTAAATATTTACTGCAGGTTATATGTATAAATTTGAACACTTTTTTCTACATGTATTCTAGGTGCTTGAGTCCAAATCTGGTGGTAACAAGACATGAGATAGATGCATTGATGCATGGAAGCGAGGACCTAGAAGGAAAGGTGACATCGAAACGAGATAGAAAAGGAAGGAAATGATCTTCCTTTTGTGTAAAATTGTGTAAATTTCTTATATAATCGACATGATAGTACATAAGGTCATCTCCGACTTATGGCACCAAATTTGTGTGACTTTATTCCAAATTGGGGCAACATTTACACCATCTTACAAGGTCATCTCCAAAACATAGCGCTGAATATTACACCAAATGAACAATGTTTCTTTTATTTCCTTATTGTTAAATTCTTAACAAACAATTTATTTAAAAAAATATTCAATTATAAATTATATTGCTACGAAAATTTATAAATTAAAAATTACATCTAACTAACTAAAATACTGCATTTATTAGTAAATAAATAAATAAAAACATAACACTCAACACGACAATTCAAAAAATATTACATTTAGACATAATAAAAAAAATTACATATAATGAAAAAAAAAACTTTTACAAAAGAAACATAGAGCACAACTAGTTTGGTCATTTATAATTATCAAATGTGCAACTTTATAATTTTAACGGGTAATCTTATTTTAATGTATTCAATACTTAGGCCCTGTTTGGGAGGGATTTAGATTTTTCTACAGTAAATCAATTCTCATTTTCAACCACACATTCTTCAATAAAATAATATTTTTTATCATATCAATAATTTTTTCTTCTTTTTCAACCACACATTTCCCATCATATCACTATTCAAAATCAATTCTTTCCTCAAAAATCTCTCCCAAACAAGCTCTATGTATTTAGATTATCAAAGCATACGCAATGCAGGAGGTCATAAAAACTATTTTTTTTCCCATTATGGCCCTATTTGGGAGGGATTAGATTTTCCTACAGTAAATCAATTCTCATTTTCAACCACACATTTTTCAATAAAATAATATTTTTTATCATATCAATAATTTTTTCTTCTTTTTCAACCACACATTTCTCATCATATCATTATTCAAAATCAATTCTTCCCCCAAAAATCTCTCCCAAACAAGCTCTTATTATTTGTTACTTGATTACAATTTATTTAAATAAAAATAAAAATAATTAAATTAAAATAAAGTTAAATTATTAAATAATAAAAAAGATATAATAGAAATTAAAATTCGTTATAGTATAAAATGAAGGGCAAAAAGAAAATATGTAAAACCGTAAAAAGTACATCAAATGAACAATATTGCACCAAATTCATCAATTTGATGTTGGGTTGGAGCGAGTATTTTGCACGAATTTGATGCTATGCCTAGATATGTCTTAATGTCAAACACAATTGAACATTACGATATAGAGGAGAATTCAGTTTTGGAGGAGAAACCATACGTTTTTAGAATCTGCGTGCTCTTTGGTTAAAATACGTAAGAAGTCCAAATGGATTGGACTCTAGTGGATTGAAAAAAGACACATAACCTTAAAAAGAAAAATGTTTCACATAAAAATATATTGTTTTCATTTACCAGGTAAACCATTAAAGTCAAGCATTTATGTGACTTGAAATAGACTAATTAAATTAGCAAATAAATATATTCGCTGACCCGTGTTCATTTCGTGTTCGAACCTGTGCATATTTTCCACCTTGTTCTTTCTTAACGACTCTCTACGAAAGTTAACTGATGTGCACAGTCCATTCCCGGCTAATTTCCCATATACTTTCGTCCTTGTTACATGTGAAAATTGTGTTGATTTGTGATACTAGTCCACCCAATGAATTTTCAATTGACCCGTGAACATGTTTCTAGAGTGTGTTTGGTAGGGATTTTTAGGGAAAAAAATTGATTTTTGAATAGTGATATGATGGGAAATGTGTGGTTGAAAAAGAAAAAAAAGTATTGATGTGATGGAAAATATTATTTAATTGAAGAATGTATGGTTGAAAATGAGAATTGATTTAATGTAGAAAATGAGAATTTGTACCAAACAGACCCCTAGTTTATGTTGTCCTTCATATCTCTGTCTTTCTCAACTTCCGATTGATTTCAATAACTGACATAGTTATCTCACAGATTGTCACATTAACTTACGATATGAATTCTTAAATGTAACCAAATGATGAGGTTGGTTCCCGAGATATGTTGAACATGAGATATATTGTCCATTGATGATATATTAAATAATTCATTTTTCTCACTTTTCTTATCGATCACCCATATTTTAATAAAATAATATTATACGTAAATCCAAAAAAATTTCCTTATTTTTTGACCACACATTTAAAAAAAAAAAAATTAACATTCCTCTTATTATAACATAAAATAATGGAGGCCAAACGAGTACTTAATTTTGTTNAAAAAAAAAAAAATTAACATTCCTCTTATTATAACATAAAATAAT